TGTTGCTATGAAAGTCAAAAAAGTTGGGCAAACCTTATGGTAATGTAAAATGTTGCAAATGGAATTTGGCAGATGAGGACAGATCTCTATCCTGTCTTACTTGGTAATAAATTATCATCCATGATAGCCAGCAAAGCTGTTCATAGCTCATGTACTGATCTGAAATCAACTGGTGCTACATCTGGCACGTTCATTGCCGTGTAGTGAGTTTGTAGCTTCACTTTACTTAGTCTGGCCAGCAAAAAAAAAAAAAGGCAATTTGATAATGTTTTTTTTTATTGCTTAGGTATTTTATAGCTAGAATGGTGTTATTTACTATTTGGTTTTCTTTCATGTATTTGAAATGAATGAATCTCAATGACTGAGGTTTTCTATACTGATGAGCAGAATGCACACTTCTAACTGGCTGATTTAAGATGTTTAAGACATTAAATGTAAAGAAGCTGAAACAGCTTAACTGAATCATTATATGTGACAGTAAGACATATAGTATCTTTGCAGTTGTGTATGTTCTGCAGCCTGGATTAGTCACTCAGAAAGATAATATATATATCCATATATATCCATAGTACAGTCTTTGAAGTCTACTCCTTGCAGTAGATACAGAAACCCTTTGTGTGAAATAATAGTAAAAGATATTATGACTAATTTTTGAGAAACTAATGTTATATTCAGTGTCAGGCCGAAGCCGAGGACTTGAGTAGAGTTCTCAAAAATGTCAAACATGTTCAAGAATAGCTACTTTCTATTGTTGAAAAGAAACATACAAGTTGAAATTATGTCTTACAGTTGCCTGACAGTTTGATCTTTCATGTAAATATGGGATAAGTAGTCACTAGCAACAGAATGATGTAATCAAAATTGCTAGTGTCTGTATTATAAGCTAAATGTATTTTATTAATTCAAGTATTTTTAAGGTTCCCTGCATCAAAATAGCAACGTTTCTAGTACTGTCAGCTTTCTAATAATCCCTGTGTATACCATATGTGTGCGGTTTTTTACAAGATCTGCAGAAAAAGGATTTCAAGGCTGTTGTGGATTAGCCCCAGCCAGCAGCTGAGCCCCGCACAGCCGCTCACTCACTCCCCCGCCATGGAATGGGGAGAGAATCAGCACAGTAAAAGTGAGAAAGCTCCTGGGTTCAGATGAAGGCAGTTTAATAGGTCAAGCCAAAACTACATGTGCAAGCAAAGCAGAATAAGGAATTCATTCGCTGTTTCCCATCACAGGCAGGTGTTCAGCCATCTGCTGGAAAGCAGGGCTCCACCATGTGTAACAGTTTGGGAAGACAAACACCACAACTCCAAATGTCCTCCCTTCCTCCTTCTTCCCACAGCTTTTATGTGTGAGCATGATGTCATATGGTATGGGATATTCCTTTGGTCAGTTGGGGTCAGCTGTGTGGGCTGTGTCCACTCCCAGCCTGTTGCACACCCCCAGCCCACTCACGGGTGGGTGGGGTGAGAAGCAGAGGAGGCCTTGACACTGTGTAAGCACTGCTCAGCAAGAGCTAAAACATCCCTGTGATATCAACACTGCTTTGGTCACAAATCCAAAACAGCACCCTGCGAGCTGCTATGAAGAAAATCAACTCCATCCTAGAAAAACCAGGTCAAAGGCCTAACCCAAATGCCAGCAGTGTGAGAGTGAGCACAAGAGAGTTTTTGAATGAAGCAAGGAGCTGACAGGAGGAAGTTTAATGTCTAGCCAGAGGGAACTAATCTTAAGTCTGGAGTACAGAGACCATGGTACTTACAGAAAAGTGTACGGTTGGGTCAGTTTAGTCATCTGTTTGACAGAAAATGCATGAGTTGTGCCAGTCTCACATACTTCTTGTTTTGGAGTTGTTTCTGCTCCTTAGGCAAACCTAAGACTGTCTTTGGAGCAGATCTTATAACGAACTTACAACACACTTCAGCTGCTCAGCAGCAGAAAGGGACCTTGCAGCTGCTTTTAAGATTTTCTAGCACAATGAGAAACCGGAATAGGAGGGAAGAGGTAATTTCTTCTGGGCACTGTGAAGGGCCAGGACACAATTTACATCAGAAGTCCTGGTTTAAGTACTTTCCTTTTTGAAGGCTGTTAACAAATACAAATTAGAGGAGGCCAGTGGTTACTTTAACAGGTCAGGATTTGATAAGCTGCTTGGTAGTTCCCAGGATAAGATGAGAGTGGTGTAAAGTTGTCCCTCTGTCCACTCTTACCAGGTGTTGCGAGCATGGCTTTAGGATACCTGGAGAGACCTCTGTCTCTGCTTTGCAATAATGTGATGTTGAACATCACTGTTACTATTGAAAGTGTGTCTCTGCCAATCAATTTTTTCCATGAAAGTGAATAAGAAATCTCCACTCAGTGTTTAAACAGCACAGATGTATTGCCATTGTGACTTCTTTTGCAAATGACACTTATGTCCCTCAAATTTACAATATTTACTTGGTGGACGTTAAGAATTTTTGATTTAGGGATCATTCAAGCTTCTATTTGTATACTTGGTAGAAATGTATTCAGTAGCAATGGGGTCTGCAAATGCCAGCAAAACGATAGCAAATAGAACATATTGTGGAACTGCTGGAACTGCTGTGCATCATTTCTAAGCTTTACACTGTAATTGTAACTCCTGATGTGCACGAGGTCAGGAAATAAATTTCCTTTTCTTCCAGAATAGTGTTGATGGGGACATGAGGCTGCCAAATTTTTAAGTCATTTGTCGGAGCATCCTTTTCCATAATTTTGCAGAGTAGATCAGGTTGAGTAAATGAAAGAGGATGCCCAAAGTATTTGCAGTGTTCTTGGGCCATGGGCTGTTGTAATTGCTGCTGAGAAACTGCTCATCACTCTATTCCCAGAAAATTGCCTGGAGACTGGCTGATTTTCCTTTTGCTGTGACAGAAGCCAAATTAAAGAAGCGTGGTCTGCAGTGCTTGTCTGTAGGCATAGTTTGTAGAACTGTGCAAAAATGAGCCAAACTGCAGAGTGTAATTCTGCCATTCTAGCAGGGAATTGAAGGGCAGTTCTTCAGAAATGATTTTGTGTGAAATTATGTTAATTTTGAAAAAAATATTTTTAGAATTGTATTTGAAAACAAGTTTAGAAGCATCATTCAAGAAACGTTGGACTACTTAGAGTTCTATTTAGCAAACCCAGGATTCATGTGGAAAACCAGGATCTTTTGAGGGCGTCTGTCTAAGCGCAAGCATTTGTACACTCTGGGTAGCTACGCTTGCATTAGTCACTGTGAGGCCTTTTCATTGTCTGTAGAAATACATCCAATGAAGTCCATGTTGACTGCTTACATAGATACAAGAAGTGCTTCCTAGAAGGCTCGTGAAGAGAGCCCACAGTGCCTTAGATGTTCATATTTGCAGTGTAGACACCTAACTTTAGGTGAAATAGAGCCTATGATTTATGCCCACAGAGGGTCCCTAGAAATGCAGTGGAGCTCCACAAACATACAGCAGACTTTGTAGTGAGCAAGAAACTAACATATCAGGTTTAACCATTTTAACCAGCCAGAGACACCAATTAAAAAAAAAAAAAAAAAAAGAAAAGAAAAAGAAAAAGCAATATTCATTCAGGATTTTAACTGAGGAACTTTCTTATGGTCATTCTAATGGCATTGGAAATGACATTAATTTTGTATTTTCTTTCTTTAGCTCTGCAGTAAATTAATATTATGTAAAGCAAACAAAACATTAAACTGTCAGGACCGTTGTCAAAAAGGCTATTAAAGCTTACTTCTCTAATTAAAAAAAAGAGATTTCTGTTTCCTGTGACAGCTCATATACCAATTTTAGCTCCTAACAAGCATGATAGTTGCTATGAATATACTTAAGATCTATGTCAGTTGTATCCCTTATTTTTTTCCTTTAACTGTATCTACAATAGTGTGGTTGCAAGATTCTTCATTTTGTTTCACATTTCGTTTAGTCCTTTCTGTACCTGTATGATATTTGCTAAGGGAATGACCAGCTAACTTCATCACAAATTGGGGTTGCTGAAGTTACCTCTTTACTTGGCCTTTTAAATGCTATAAAAATATATTGATTTGCTTTTCCTTTTGCTATCTTATATAAAATATTGCTTCCTTGCTACTTTTTACAAACATTGCTCGAGAAGGTGATTGATATATGGGCACTAAATATTGAAATTCTGTCTGTTATACATAGCACATTCTACACTGCTATTAAAAACTTTAATCTCATAACATAGTAAAAAACTTCACAGTTTTAATATTCTGTCTAGCTTGAGTGGAAAATAATGTAAGTCTAATGACTGTTGTAGACATAAATGAAGAAGCAGCTTAATTCTGAGAATATATACCATTATTTTTCTTGGTGTTGTCATTCAGAATAGGATTTAATGTAATATGTAGCTGGTAAATTTACAGATAAGAGTCCACAGTTAATCAGCAGACTGTGCACTTCAGTCTGCTTTTCCTCTGTTGAAAAATTTCCTTTCCAAGTTCTAGCAAATAACTTTACTAAAGAAAGAAAGGGTAGTTTGGGTCAATATTTAATAAAGTATTTGAATATTTAGATTAGGAAATTAATGAGACTTAAACATGTCTTTTAAAATTAAACTCATGTATAAATGCATTACGAAGTACACTGGAGCAAGACTGTCTCTCTTTCAGACATAATCCATTCTTTCAAACTGTGGCTCATTCTTCCCAGATTGATTTTGTTTATGGAAGTTGATGAATCTGATACTTTCTTTGACCTCATTGACATTGGATAATCAGCTGAAATTGTGCCAGCTTGTGTGTCTAAGTTTTGAGTTCCTGAGGCTGAATTTTCTGCTGAGGTCAACTGGCTTGAGATGTTGCTTTGCAGAAATATGCTGGAATAAAGATGTAACATTCTTGTCACATACTGTAGAGCAAAGAGTGAAAATAATGCTATTTCTTAAGACTTCAGAGCTATTTAATGGAAAATTATATCATTTCACAGTCTATTTTACGTATCAGTAAGTGATTTCTGCATATATATTTTTCTGTGCAGGTCAACTTCTATGTAAGGGTGAAGGCAATTTATACCCTTGGACACAGCGTATCTCTAATTGCTCTTACAACAGGAAGTATAATTCTTTGCCTTTTCAGGTATGTATTTTTCATAACTATGAAGATGACAGGAGTTAAATAAAAATTAAACCAAAAAATAGTAGGTGAGAGAGTATGTCTGAAATATATCCAGGATAATCAAAGTTTTATTTGCAAGAAAAACACTAGGATGGTTGCACACACAGAAGGATATAAAAATCTGTGTTTATGTTCATCTTATGTTAAAGTGTGGGAGAAATACCACTGGGATCTTTTGATCTGTGATACTGAAAAGGAGCAAGGCATACTTTATTTGTATATTTTGCACAGCCTATAGTGATCATGAGGATGATAAAAGAAAACAGCAAGGCAGCACTGAAAGGGGAGGCCCTTACTTAAGGTTCCTATTACTAAGAAACAACTGGAGAGTAATAGAAGGCTGTTCAAGAGCTTTCTGTCTCAAAATCTAAAATGCCTGTTTTTAAATCTCTTCTTAGAAAACTTCATTGTACTCGGAACTACATCCATCTGAACCTGTTCCTCTCTTTCATTCTAAGAGCAATCTCTGTTTTAGTCAAGGATGATATTCTCTATTCCAGCTCCAACACAGCTCACTGTCCAGAGGATCAAACCTCATGGGTAATAAACCTCATTTGCTACCTAGTATAATAATGTTGTGTCACTAAATTTTCCTCTTTGATCACTTTAAATATTTAGGAATTCCAAGCTGTCAGTGAAGACAGTTCTGTAGAGAATATAATGACTAGCAAAATGATCTATTAGAAGTAGCCAGAGAAAGAAGGTTGTATCAGGGGTCCAGGAATTGGACAGGTATCAATGGAGGGAGAGAAATTAGTCAGGGAATTAAATATTCACAAGAGTTGTCTTTATTAATTCCTGTATACTTTCTGCCTATGACAGAGGTGGTGTTAAGTGCATTCTTGGCAAGCTAATATGTTTACTGCGTTTTCATGCACAAGGGTTAAAAAAATCTCAAGTCTTGCTGTTAAAGGACTGACCACTATATGATATTCCCCATTCTCTGCCTCCATTGTTTCAGTCAAAAGTGCTGCAGAAGAACAAATATCACTGAATATTCTGAATCTAATTTACTACAGTTTAAGCTTGTGAGAAAAAAATGGAAGGAAGACATTTTTATATTGATGAAGCCATATTGTCCAAAAGCATGAAGTTCTTAGCAGTGACTACCAGGCTGTACATATGAAATTGTAACCTGGGATATTTCTAATGAGAGAAGTCTCTGAGTTAGTAGACCCAAAGTAGGCAAAGTAGCTAGTAGGCAGACTGCCAGGAGTAATCAAAAGCTTTTAGGTCCTTGAAAGGTTAGTCAATGGACTTTCAAAATACTACTCGATTTCTGCAATTTCTTTTATTCTGCAGTTATTCTTGGCTGCAAAGCCTCATACTTTCCTATTTGAATATGTCCAGTCTTCTGGACTGTTGAGTATTTTCTGTTGCATTATATGTGGGATGATCTGACACCAGCTTGGCAAGGCTGTTTTGTCTTGCATTGGCTGGATGCTACCTTTCTTACATAGCAGCGTGCGGGGTTTGCCCCTTTTGTCGTATATGTGTGAAGTTCCACAGTTCTGCTGCACGCACAGATGTCTAAAAGCACACAATTCAAAATGCAATGTGACTAGGTCCTGAATCTGAATGACACAGAGCCATAATTTTTGGCTAACTTTTTACTGACAGATACCTTCGCTGTTCAGCATCTGGAAATACACCTGATACAGGATTAGCTGCAGGAGGAAAGGAAAATATTTTGATGCGGGGTTCTGGTATGTAAATCGAGAATATGATACAGGGGAGTATTGGAATTTAAAAGAGATTACAAAAATTTTATACTTTGGCTGCTAATCTGGTTGTAAGTAGTCATAAGCGTAAAAGCAAATTTCAGCTTGCATTTTGAAATGTTTAATTTTCTCCATGTTAAATTTCCTGGCCCATTACTGGTCTGCAATGGATGTCCCTTCAGTGGATACGAAGTCCAGAGGTAAAATTAGTCTTACCAAACAAGATGACTGGACTAAGCTGTTTCTCTGGGCTTCTGTCTTTCTCACTGGACAGTTTATCTCATCTGTTTTAAGACTTTCTCTGGACATGCCTGTCTCTTTTCATGAGCTATATAAGGAGCTAGCTGCTTAGTAGGTGGCTAGCTTTCACCAGAAACCTTGCTTGTAGGCAGCTAAATTCAGGTGAAATTAATTCAAGCCTTTGGGCTCTTACTTAGTTGTCTATATAGGCATGTACACAGGCATAAATGTAGGCATGTATGTTACTTGGAATGCACTGAGATTTCGGAGACATCACAAGGGACTGATGGATACAAAGAGGTATCTCCAGGAGGTCTGTGCCTTTCTGGCTTAGCAGCTGGTGACTGGGATCCCTGAGGGCATTTCACTTCATAATAGACAGCTGTGTTTTAGACAGAGGAATCAATCACTAAATAAGTGAGTTACCTACTTAGGTAATTGGTGTACTTGGAATTTTAGCAGAAACAGTGGAGGCATGAAGGATATTTAAAATGGGGAAGGGAGTAAAACAGGCAGAAACTAGAAGTTTTATGTAGTCCATTTTTTTTAGTCTGTTACGTTCGCCATATCATCACATTTCTCAGCTCAGTCTCAACAGAAACATTTTTGTGTTCAATTCTCGCAACCCAGATTCCTGCTGGGAAGTACCAAAGTAGCAGCAGCCAGCACTGTGGAACATCAGCACAGACATCTGAAAATTAATTCTGAAGAGCAGCACACAGACTATAAGTATACTGGGACTTCATTTTGTGATACATGCTTATGTGTTTTGTTAATTAAGAAACACTAAAGCATTTTCTAAAGGGAAAACATAATTTTTAAAAGTCCAGTCAACTTCTTCTAAGTCTACTTAAAGTGTTCATCATGTAAAGTTACATTTTTCACTTAATTTCCCATTTAGCCTTGAAAAATTCATAAAGCAGTTTCTTTGTTAATTTTTGCTGTTAGAAAGCCAGCTGGGATTTTAATGTGTTTATTAGCCACCTAATAGATGATCATTTAATCTAATAGCCATTCATTAACTAACTATTGCAAATATGTGTTTTTATTGATAACCACAACCTTTTACAATATTGATGCTATGAAGTTTTCAGAATTTCTGAGCGAATTTGCTACGAGAGCCATCTAAAGAATTTTCTTTTTATATATACAGTAACATTTATGATATCTCAATTTGCTTGACTGAAGAAAAAAAATTCCTACTGGACCTGGGTTACTAGTATTACATGGAGAGTTAAGAACTGCAAGATATATTAATAAGAATAATACAGCATCTTTCCTGCAACAGCTTTGATCCCTATTCTCATGTTTCAGGTGGGCTGCAAGGCTATTTTGGTGTTTTTTCAGTATGGTGTTATGGCAAACTTTTACTGGCTCTTAGTTGAAGGACTTTACCTCCACATCCTCCTTGTGCTAATATTCTCCCCCAACAGACACTTCACAATCTACCTGCTGATTGGATGGGGTAAGAACTTAAACACCTTCCAATAATATTCTTTTTTGTGTATGTACATATTAGTCAGGTTCAATATTCATACCAAGGTAGTCGAGCCGTTTCTGTTGGATGGCTCCTCAGACTGACTAGTTCCTCAGTTCAGCTCCAGCATAGGTTTCAGCCACTGTACCAGGGGGGAGAGTGGGCACAAAACTGCTGAAGCATGACTGCTGTCATGCAGTTCCTTGGCATGGCTCTGACCTGTGCCAATCTGCACAATGATCAGGGGTTGTTCAGGAGACAGGATGGTGAAAGGACTGCTGCTGCAAAACGTGTGATTCAGGCTGTCCTAATTTGGGAGGAAAAAGAAAGTTTAGCTGTTTGCCTTTTTGAAAAGCCCAGTAATATTGTCCATCTGGTTTTAAATACATGTATTCCTTTAATTTTCAGAAAGTGCAATGGTATTTGTACAGAACATTTTAAAGCTTCCAGTAATAGGTGGTCATAAAACATTTGGGTATTGCTGGGAAATGGGAATAAACCAGTGTGTGGGAACAGCTCCTTGTCAAATGATTTACACTTCAGTTTTATATTGTAGTCCTTGGAAGTGCACTAGGAATGTGTAACTTATATCTGTCTCCCTGTAGGTCACTCTGACAGCTTGAAAGAAACTTAAGAAAGGCGTGTTCTTTGTGTATTAGTCATTATGGCTTCATTTTCATAAGAAATAAACCCACTTCCCTGCAGTCTTTGTTTGTAATACATTGGTTACATCACATGGCTCATCAGATGGGCATCTCCCTCCGGTCACTAAACCGTTTACGCTGTATATTTGGGGAGTAATTGGTTACTTAGAGGCTGGACTTTTGGGTTGTTTTTTTTGTGGACTTACATTTTTCTGATCATCCTCTAAACCTCTGGGATTTTTCAGGAATTCCTACCATATTCATTATTACGTGGACAGTGACACGGATTATTTTAGAGGACACTGGGTAAGTGTGTGGGGAGAGAAAGCTTAAAGCCTCCAACTGTGCCAGTACAATCCTTGCTTGGATATGGTGGTGTTCACACCAAGCTCGTTTGCTGATCTGAAGGGGATAAGCACAGAACTGAAATTTCAGATATGGCAATAAAGGGCCAGGTGTTTAGGAGCTCTTCAGCACGCAATTTACACTTGCTGTTTATTTGAAAAACTCTAAGGGCAGGAGAGGACAGAGAGAGGTTATGACTAACGTTGCCCCTTGGGACCCGCATTTAGAGGTATCTGCTTTGGAGCTCAAAATAATACTTAAAATAGCAGTGGGGGCCCTTGGGTTCAGTGCTGCAATACACTGCAGTAAGATGTTGGACATTCTAATTTGCTAACTAGCAACTCAAAAGATTGAAATCTAGATAACTTTGGGTATGTCTAAATTGCATTCCCTGAAGTGAAGCAATGTGGTGTAAACATACATGAGATGCACATAGTCAGGTGAAACTATGACTAGCTAGAGCTAGGCCTGGCTGCTGGCATGGGAAGGGGAACTGAGATAAGAATGTCGTAGGAAGATCAGACTTGGTGCTCCTGCTGGCCCCAAGGAATGGGGCAGCATTCCTAGCTAGTGGGAAAACAGTTTTCATGCTCCTTTTTTTCAACCTAATATTTTTCAACTGATTCTGTAATTAAACTGAAAAATCATATCCTACAATTCCTAAGTTTTCTTTGCATGTAAACCAAAGGCTAAAAGGCTAACCCCTTTTTCCTTTGTCATTATGATCACAGTTAGAGGAACTCTGAAGGGTATTGCCCTTGCTTGATTAATCTTTCAGAGCACTTATTCTCAGAGTATTTGTACCAAAAGTGCTGAGCCCACAGTGAAAATTAAATTTTCAGTTTTTCAGACAGATTTTCAGGTTCAGTCTCACATATCCCTATACCAATTCCAGCCATCTGTAACCTAAATATCCCACAAGGAATTATGTCTTTTCAATTGTATCTGTCAGTTGCTTTAGATCTTCCTGCTACCCAGAGGCTGGTGTTAAGTGCTTATTGGAAAAGTGTCCTTACAGAAAGTGAAATGAAGCTTGGTTTCCCTAAAGGCCAGCATGTCTAGCGGTACAGTCTAGTGTGCCTGATGTTTTAGCTGATTTGAATATGCATATTAAAACCAGGGAGGTAAAATTAAAAGCAGAAAAAGACTGAATGCCAAATTCTAGGCTAGAATAGGCATTATTTTAGTGAGCTTTGACTTGTCTGTAAGAAATACTTCTCCTCATAGTTCTTGCTTGCCAGATGATATTAACATCAACATCATTTTCCTTCTCTTTTTTTTATAGTTGCTGGGATACAAATGAGCATGGTGGTCCCTGGTGGGTTATACGAATACCAATTTTAATTTCTATTATAGTAAGTAAACTTTGAAGCATGAATTATAGATCAGTTCAGCATTGTGCAGTGCATATAGCCATTATTCTTTACTGCTGGTTACAGATAGGCAAGAATTCTGTTTTAATGAAAAGAAATTGCGCTGTAGGAGAAATGTTAAACAGATGCCAAGGCCATTAAAATTTGTTGCCTTCAAAATTTATTTGCCTCCTATTAAAGGAGCAGTTGCTTTTATTTGTACGTTCTTTCTTTAACATCTTTCCTGTTTATGAGCCTGGGGGAAGCAAAAATCTAATTATACTTTTCAATGAATTGCAGATTTGATTTTGCCTGTAAATAGATAGCCCTGCAATTGAGAACCTGATTTTATTGCAAACATAAACTGGCTCTGTATATCTTTCTTTAATTGGTAGCCTACTGAAATATATATTGAAGTAGTTGCAAAAGAATACCATTTGAGAATGTTTCATGGGGCTTTTCCTATTTGGAGCTCATTATAATTACTGGAGTAGCATAGTAAAATTCCTGTTCACTGTGATGATTGTGTAATTAACTTTGGGCATAATATACTATGGTTATATGTCCATTTATGAAAACAGTCTCAGTGCAAATTAGTACTTTTCAGATACACTTGCTTTATTTTTAACATTTTAGTCAGAAAAAAAGTAGGGCATTATTAGATCACGCAAGATTTCAACTGTCCACATTACGCTTGGGCTTGCCTTTCAACCTGTGACTGCTGAAAATCATTTTGAGAGAACTTAACTATTGTCTTCATCAGAGTGAATTCTACAGTGTTTAGAGAGAGCAGAGTAGGAATGTGCAGAATGACAGAAGGTAAGGGCTCACAGAAAAGACATTTTATGATATGAAGAAACGGGCACACAACAGAACTGCAGCATGAAGAGGATACGTGTACCTCAAAGGAGGTGGAGAATTGGGGATTGTCCAGAGTGAAGAAAATATGCTGAAAGATAAAAGCAAAGCAAACCACCTGGTCTTTACAGAAGCATGAGTCTATTCTCTGTATGTTCAATTTAAACAGCTATCTGGTAGACAGCTGAGACTTCATGTGCCAGAAAGCAGTGGTTCTTCAAGGAAGTCCTAGACCTGGAAGCGGAAGTTATCCAAGTGCTCACTGGCAGACTTGAATTGCAGCTGGATCTTAGCAAAGACTGGGAAATGAGTTGTGACTTAAGCAAATGAGTACTGGTCAGTCAGCAAAAGTCCAGTATATTATAAACCGTGGACCAGAATCACTGCTTGAGGCAAGGGAACAGTAGTTGGTTTTGTTTTTTTTTTTTTTTAAATGGTTCTGTTACTAATTTGATACAAAGGGGTTGTAAGACATAGGAAGACATTCTGCAAGTGATGATTTTGGCTTGCTAGGTGCACATGTTTAAGTTCTGCTGTCTCCTTCCAGACATGTTTCTTCTCTTAAACAGCACGTTCTAGGGATGAGAGCAACTAAAGATGGCCAAGTGATTCTGTGGTGTGTACTGTGTGAAGCCACTTCTCCAATTAGATGATTCTTCAGCTGTTTGATCAACTACATTTTGCATTTAGGAAGTTAAGCTGTGAAAGGGAGTTATAAAAGCAGTGATACTCTCTCTTTCCTGCTGGATAAGTAATGTATCTTGCTGGAGCATCAAACTACAACTACCATGTTCATTGTGGCAGCTGGGATGCTATGCAAACTTACTGCTGTGCAAAGTAGAGCATGCATTCATAAAGCAAGAGGAGGTAATGAAGTGTCATGTAAAACTGGTCGTTGATGAGTGAAAAATACTACATTCATGAGAACATAATTTTCAATATACATACACCATGTAAGTCTCAACATTTCCTGTTACCTTCTAAAAAAACAGAAGTTGAAGATTCAAATCTTTGAATAATGAGGTCAGTGCTGCCTGCCATTCAATAGTGAAAATAGATCATTGCAATTTCTTTGGATAGGCGTTGTGAAAGGGTCATGATGTTTCTCACTAAAAGTATGATGTACTTAGAGTACACACAGTGCCTTCAGTCGGCTCAAGAATGTAAGAAGACTGGAAGACTCACAGAGAATGGTGCAAGGATGACCAGCAATAACACATGGCTTCAGTATTAGGAAGGACATCTGTGTAAATAGTCAGTGACTGAACACAGAACTGAGAGAAGCTGAATTTCAGGAAAATAATGGAGAGCAGAACACCTAAGCTGCGAACTCCCATCAACTTCCTTATGTAATGGCATGAAATAAAGCCCAGAGTATGGCTGATATTGAAAATCATTGAGGAGGATGTAGAGTGAAGAAAAGTGTAGAAGAGAACCTGATTGTGAGAAAGATGCCATAAATGTACTTTTGAAAGGCAGAGGGAATCAAAGGTTTTAAGGAACAATGGTTTAACCAGATTAGATTTAACAGGAAGTCCACCATCTACATTTAGCCTGTACCCAGGGCTAAACTGTAACAGTTGCTCTGTCACCCAACACCCCTCACCAGCCAGGAAGGGGAATCGGGAAAAGGAGATGAGATCTGTGGGTTGAAGTGAAAACAGATTTAGTGAAATAGCACCAATACCAACACAGGCATACAAAGTTATACCCAGCCAAATGCATATGCAGCAGTCACAATCGACAGGAGAGCAGTCCTCAGGAACAGCAGGACCTCCAGCAGGAACTCCTCTTCTTCAACAAATCTTCCCCTTTTATAATGACCATGACATGATGGGATGGGCTACCCCTGTGGCTCACTCAGGTTGGCTGCCCTGGCTGACTCCAAACTGCTGGCAGCCTGCCTGGCATGGCTGGGCGGTGATTCTGTCCCAGCTAAACCAGGACATCCACTCAGTCTTCGTGCCATATTCACTCTCTTACATCAATTTTTGTGTTAACTCCAGACATTTTCACTGCTTAGCAGATTATACTTTCTGTAAGGTTATTATCCAACACTAAACAGTATTGTGAGTGCAAATGCTGAAGTCACTTCTCAAAGCAGGAACGATTTCAGTTAATTCAGTGTGTCAGAAACCTTCCCTGGCATCTCCTCCTGACAAGTCTGGCTTGAGAAAAGTTATCTGGCAGGCTTCCATGCTTTGTGCTGCACACATTTCAGAGTTATTTAATTGGGGGCGACTATTCCAAACAGTTAATGTGGTGTTACCCATATCCTTCATTTAGCAAATGCCTCCACAACTGTGTTCTCTGTACTTGACTTGCATAAACTGCTCTCATTTGGGAAGGAGTGGTGTTTGGGTGGAAATAGCACTTCTGTCACGACAAAGTAACTGAAAAGTATTTATCTTGTTATCTCACATTGCAGGTAGTGTAAGGGGCTAAATAGCAAGAAAGAAGGAAGATGAAGACAGTTTAAATGATACATGGTCAGGCAATGTCTTTAGACTCAAAACCTTATTGTCTGAGTCTGTCATGCAGTAGAAAAGGGTACCAGCAGCATCCTGCTGTTACCCCACTAGAGAGGCATCATTTGTTATCACTCTCTTGCAGTTCCTCTGCGTTCATATTATTTTCTCTTTTTCCTGATCTTAGATGTTCATTGAACAGTATACATATTCTATTTTATTTAAAGATAGTATGCTTGAAACTATTTTGTGGGACTGAAAAGCTACAATACTAAAAGTAAAATTTCAGGGCACTATGTGTTTCATATTTTATTGAAACATACTATTCTAAATCAGGTATTTACTTTAAAGAATTTTATTTGTTATAATTTGATAACGAATGATCAATTCAATGCTAATCTTAAGAGAAGTTAATTTACTCCACTCTAGTAAGTTAGTGGCAATTGCTACCTTTAGACCTTAATACCCAGTTTCAGCTGGCTGGATTTACAAGCTCAGAAGTGCCAAGGACTGTTACAAACTCCAAAGAAAAAGGTGTGGTTTTCATTAATCCAAGATTGTGCTTACAGACAGAAGGGTTTGAAAACAGACATAAAAGTAATACAGGAATGTCAGTCAAGAACATGAGTCACCCGAGTGTAGTTTTGCAGATGATTTGATGCTTCAGAAACCAAATGGATGACAGTTCATTCTGTTACAGTAGAAACTAGGGATGCCTGTGAAGAGCAAGAAGTTATTCTGCCAGTCCCTTTACAAACACAGAATAAAGAGTTTTCCTTCTCCTATTTTGTGGCTAACAAATATACAATTAAATGGAATCTCTCTCCTTGTCCACTAATACTGGCTGTAGTGCATATGGCAAATGAAATGTATGTCCCTTGGTCCGTACTCTCTGCTGTGGTGAGTCTGTAGATACAATCAGCAATAACAGGCTTCTGCCTGTTACTTTTATAGGAGACTTGCATCAAGGAAAACTTCTAAGCCATCATCTGCCTGAAAAATGTATGTTAAGTTCAGTAAAGGCCTATATTTTCCAAATTTTGTTTAATTATTCTTTTTTCAAAAATACTAAATATAATTTTCCTAATTTTTTTATTTAATCCTTGTCAGTTCCTGACACTTCCCTTCACCTGTCATTTCAAATAACATATGAAATACAGAGGGACATGCAGTTGCTACGATCATGGTTTATTTATTAACATCACAAATTGTACTGGGTATGTCAGAGAAGACACAGAAATTCATTGAACTTTAAAAGCTTACAGCCAAATTGTTAAGACTCGAAAAAGAAGAGTTCCAGCAATACATCAAGGCAGAGACTGGAGGTTCGTAGCAGCGAGGCAGGCACCGTCTGGTTGCGTACTCAACCCCCTGATTTTGGGCTTTAGCATGGGGTTAGTTAAAAACAATAAAATGCTCATTTTCACAGTGATAGAAATTTTTCTCTAGGTTGATTTCTTCTAAAATGTGTGCATTTGATGCAGCTGTTTATGTAGCTGTAGCTGTAGTTTTTAGCCCACATTGTTGCTGTGAAGGTGTGGATTCCAAGTGTTCCCTCGTTTTAGTACGGGCATGCTATATTTAGTGTGTGGTTTTCTAGACCACACCAAACAATCCAGTACCGTAACAGCTGGTAAACTCAAGATGCCAAAAGCCAAGGATGAAGAAATAATGAGAGTGAGACTTAGGAACTACTGAATTTTATACATCAGTTTTCTAGATTGATCAGGGTTTAATCATGAATTTTTTATGCAAGGGCCTTTTTATGAAATAAAATATGAAATAAAATAGTGCTACTGTTCTATCTCAGAGGGCTGTCACGAGAATTAGACTGCATGGATTCGATTGCTTAAGCGATAATATCTGCATCACTACTGAAGACAGGCAGATACTTGTGAGAGGCCCTTTCAGTGCTTGATTGGAGTGAACAGATCACCTGTGCAACAATCTTCTGTTCCCCTAATTCAGACAGAAAATATTAAAAGTCAAGGTGAAAGGCAAAAGAGAGGGTCAAAACGCTGTGTGGGACTCACATTTTCCTTTGGGCTTCCAGTTGTGAATCCACGTGACAATTTAGGACAATGCTGGATTGTACCAAATCACATCCAGTGTCCCATCCTGCTAGGAAACCTATCTTCAGCTGAGATTTTTGGAAGGAGGGCATTTCTGACAGCTGGGGCTTTCAAATGTTTTTGCCAGCCAGACTAGAACTGCTGGCCATGCAGAGGTGCGCTGAATGTAACAAACCTAGTGAGGCAGAAAACAGACAATAGGTTTGACAGAGCTTGCTGTGTTCTGGCGGGAGGTGCACAACACATGCGGCTGAGTTGGTTTGGCTGACTTGATGAGCATTTCTTTGTGCTGAGTGTTGAGTGGAGAAGTCAGAAGTCACTGTTATATTTGTTTTCTTTCCAGGTGAATTTTATACTTTTCATTAGTATTATAAGAATCTTACTGCAGAAGTTAAGATCTCCAGATGTTGGAGGAAATGACCAGTCACAGTACAAGTGAGTCATATTTTCAGATATTATTTACAGAACCGAAATAATCTCTGTAAGATTTCCTGTGCTGAAACTTGTTTCCAACAATTGCTGTGATACTATAATTACCTTTAATTCAGAAATACTTTTAGATGTGGTTTAATGAAGATCTTCTCACTGTGTTGAAGTAGAGGTGAACATAATTTTTTTATCAAACACTAGATTCAATAAAAATATGCAATTTCATAAAGACTAACAAGCTATTCTTGAATTTTAATTTAATCTATGGATGAATATGCTGATACAAAAATACGGAGAGTAATATCTTTCTTTTAACGTATGAATATTTCATTTCAACATAAGAAAAGTTTCAAGATCAGAACACTTTGCTTCAATTTCCTTAAAAACATTTTTAAAAAAACTTCGTTTATAAAATATTTTTTTGTTGTAATATTTACATATATTTCACAAGCCGGAAAGAAATTATGTTGTTCCCAAAAAATAAAAAATGGAATGTAATGTCTTATGTTGATTTAAAATGGCATCTTTATTTTTCTAGGACAAAATGTTTCTGATTTAGATCAACTTCATTTCTGTTTAGCCGTTCTTCTTTTGCGTGTTAGTTTGAACATCAAATCCTAACATCCATTGTTTCCACAGGTTTAGAATCAAGGAATGTTGGGGAGCAATTTAAATACATTGCTAAGACTGGATTTGTTCTCTATTGTATTGCTGTTATCAGTTATTATGGTTTATTATAATAGCTGCTGGATACTGTAATCCAGAATCAAGAGTCTGTTGTAGTAGGTCTTATTTTAAAGCGCAGATATAGACACTGAGTTTGACACTTCAGGGTGTTAATATGATATTTCAATGGCAAAACCTAACGAGAAGACTGAAAATTCAAAACCATGCCAGTGGCCTTTGAAAACGGGCTCCTGGGTAACACCTTTTCTTTGTTTAAAAAATACTGAATTCCTGTCCTTAAAAGAGATAAAACATGGTGTGCTAAAGTAAAGCATATCTTTAAAGCCAAGAGAACTAGAACCTTACGTGTTTTGTAAATGGCATGACACATTTGATGCAAAAAATGAAGAATTCTGCTGCACCACAGAAAAGGTAACACGACTAGATTGACATAAGGCTTTGCTTCATAATGCTACAAGGGTCCTTTCTTGTGTTTGCTCCTTGAATTAACTAAACATTTGGGAGAACCAAATCAACCTAGATGAAATTATGCGGTTGCCACATTATTCTTTAGCACAATGACTAACCTATGGGCAGGAAATCCCCTCAAGTTTACTTCTTGTGTGATGAACTTTTCTTTGTTTCTGTGTGGTATTTATGTATTTTATGAAAATGAGGCATTCCCTTCCTATCAGTCCCATCATTTTCCACAGTTTACTGTAGCACTTCAGAGTATAAAATGTTCATTAAGAGCAACCTTGTCCTTCATTATTCAGCCCTGTGAATTCTTTGCTTGTAGCATTTGATTGCCTGATTAAGTTTGGATTGGATAGTCTTTAGCTGATACCCATGGGAACAGTGGATTAACCTCCTCAAGAAGTACTGCATCTACAGAGCAAATTAAAGGTCTGGAAGGCTGGCTTTTCAAAATGCAAATGAATTTTCTAAAATACAGAGAAAGATAAGGCTATTTTGTCTGTCCCTCCCTTTCACTAAAATGTAAGTGCAGTGTAGAGAAAGTAACATCCCCTAGACAAAAATAATGAAAACAAGAATGGAGTGAAATTGAAATACGAGTCTGAAATCAATACTACTCATTGAAGTTGCCATTTTTCTTCCCTTCCTCTGTCCCACTTGCTCATACCTGGTTCTGTTCTTTTTGTTGCTCATTTTACTCTTGCAGTGGGTAAGGTTAATTTCAAATAAAATCAGTGTTCTATTACACTTGGGAAACCAGGAAATTTGCTGCCATCGTCATCTTCTCCGGTTGTAAATGAATTTCTTCTGCTAAGGAAGTCCTATTTGTCTGGCTTATTGGTGTCACCTTTAGATGTGAGGGTTTTACTATTCCAGAGAAACTTTGCTGTCAGAACTGATTATTTCCACATAAATAGATGCAGCCTCTGGGACATTATGAGCAAAAGAAGGCCGTGAAGACTGACACAAATAAAACTGCTTGAAATACCTTGACTTTTCTGTTAAAATAGGCGAATTCGCGACAGCGTCCTTTCATTGTTGAATCGTTATATTCATCAAGACAGTGATGAATTATGGGACTCAATACTATAACTTCTTGAATTTTATAGGATACCAGGCATCCATAATCATGCAAGACTGGCCCTGTATAATATATAAAAGTGATGTTATTAGAGTGAAATAAGTGACAGATGAGGGATAATTAGCAATTCATCATTTCAGAGATTTCACAGGCAGTTTGTCAGAGCCGCTCTGCTTAATAATTTAAAGTTCGCTTTCCTTAACTTCAGTAGTGTCTTGTACTAAAATGTATTGTGTAACTGACAACATTAAAAATTAGTTTATGGCATATGCTTAATACCATCAGTATAGTTATGAGATTTCAGTATTTGGGGCATTTAAAGGAAGTTAACATCAATTAATTCCAACAGAGAGATTTTACCTTCCATGCAAGTATGACTTTGCAGGAAGGCATTATTCCTTTCCACTCTGAACCCTGTATGCCAGGTAAAAAATACCTTGAGAGATCTGATGGCAGCTTGTCGAATGTTGTCCTGTGGAATAATACAGTGAAACCCCACCCTCAAGAACCGTGCCGTGAAACCAGGCTGGGGACTGGATGTGTGTTGGAGACATGGCAGAGGGCAGGTCCTACACCCTGTTGCTCTCCAGAGGGCAACTGAGAAAGGCCCTGCTGCCTTTTACCAACTTTTGGAAGAGTGCAAGGTCAGCAAGGTCAAGTATAACGGGATTGCACACGTTACTGTATGAGGTTACTGTACGGCTAATCTCATAGCAAGCCTGAAAGGAAAACGATTTGCAATCAATGACTCTTACTAGGACTGTTTCTAAATCTGAAGTCATACGAGGTTTATCTAAAAGACCTTGCATCAGGTTCTTATCTTAGTAAACCAAGAGATTACCATTAAACTCCATCTTTTTCTCTTTTATTTACCCAGGAGACTTGCAAAATCCACATTGTTGCTTATTCCGTTATTTGGAGTTCATTACACAGTGTTTGCTCTATTTCCTGACCGCAGTTCCAATTATTATAAAATAATCTTTGAGTTGTGTTTGGGATCTTTTCAGGTAAATTTTAAAGTTTTTATTCCAAAAAAAGTTTTATTGACCTAGGTCGGTGCTGCCTACTAACTAAGGATTATTGTCTCTTTCCAGGGGTTGATTGTTGCAGTCCTGTATTGTTTTTTGAACAGTGAAGTAAGTATCACCGTTCCTACTGAGGATATTAAGTATTGTTTTCAGTAAATATGCAAGTGCCCCTATAATTCCACTTTGATACATGAAGCTGTTTTAAAAGATGTTTGCCCTCCTGTTTATTGAATATATATGTGGCATTTTCTGTGCAACAGGAGAAATTAGTGTGTTTGGGCATAGTTAAGAGCTGTTTGAAATCTTAATTCCCTGCAAACTAAGGTGTTAGTAAGTGTGTCTTCTGTTATTTAATGTGATCTAATTCTGGCTCTGTTACAAGCAATGTGGACTGATCAAGTGAGGTGCAACAAGTCTAGAAATTTATCCAAAACTTGAAACACCATTTAGTAATTATTTAGGGGTAATCTCCTGGCAGAATCTAGCCCCCAGAACAGCGGCACATTTTCAGAAGTGCTCAGCATGTAGCAGCTTTCTTAATCTCAGCTGAGGAAGATGCAAGGAATTCCTTTTGATGTCAGCCACTTTTAAAGGTAGAATATACGTTAAACAGCATGCAGTGTCTGACAGGAGGAATCTGCTGAAGACACCTGCTTGCACAGAAAACTGACATCAGGTCTCCTGAATGCTATTCTGGTCTTTGATATTCATGAGGTGCCTGATTTTGGGCTATTCATTTGATTCTATGCTTTAAGTACGTGTGATTAATAGCTAGACACCAAAAGCTAATGTTGCAGCACAAGTGATACAAAACTGATTTTGAAAGTGGCCGTGGGGCACCTCCTCACAGACAGGGTAGACACAGTCTTTGCCTCAATTTTGTAATCTTTGTAAAAACTGATTTGATACTCTAGAGGGAAGGGAGGCCATCCAGAGGGACCTTGACAAGCTTGTGGAGTAGGCCCATGTGAACCCTGTGAAGTTCAACAAGGCCAAGTGCAAGGTCCTGCACCTGGGTCGGGGCCGTCCCCAGTATCAATGCAGGCTGAGGGATGAAAGGATTGAGAGCAGTCTGGCAGAAAAGGACTTGGAATACTGGGGGATGAAAAATTGGACATGAGCCGGTCATCTGTGCTTGCAGCTGAGAAAGCCAATTGTATCATGGATTAAAATAAATGTGGCCAGCAGGTTGAGAGAGGTGATTGTCTCCAGTACCAGAATGACGTGGACCTGTTAGAGTGAGTACAGAGGAGGGTCATAAAAATTTTCAGAAGGCTGGAACACCTCTCTTACGCAGAGAGGCTGAGAGAGTTGGGATTGTAGAGCCTGGAGAAGAGAAGGCTCTGGGGAGACCTTATTGCAGCCTTTCAATATAAAAAGGGGTGATTATGAGGAAGACAGAGCAAGACTTTTTAGCAGGGTCTGTAGTGACAGGACAAGGGGTAATAGTTTTAGACTGAAAGAGAGTAGATTTATATTGCATATAAGGAAGAATTTTTTTCTGTGGGGGTGGCGGAGAAACTGGAACAGGTTGGCCAGTGAAGTTGTGGATACTATGTCACTGAAAGCGTTCAAGATCAGGTTGGATGAGCTTTGAGCAACCTGCACTAGAGATAGATATCCCTGCCCATGGGAGGGATATCAGACTAGGTGATCTTGAAAAGTCCCTACCAACTCAAACCATTCTAGAGGTCCCTATTTGACAGCCATATTGCTAGAGGTCCCTATTTGACAGCCAATAAACGTGGAAAAGTTCCTCATGTAAAAGCACATTTTCAGCTCGTTTGTGCATTTTCTTTTTAACACAGGTGCAAGGGGAGCTGAAAAGAAAATGGCGGAGTTTGTGCTGGAAGCAGACAGCAGGCAGAGATTACAGACTCCACAGCTCTTCAATTTCTCGAAATGGATCAGAAAGTGTTTCTCAGCTCCACCGGAATTCAAGGGCTCAGTCGTTTATGCAGACAGAGACCACCATGATATAAATCAGCTAGGTCCTCCGAAACAGGAAAAACTGTGGGATGTAGCATTCATTATGCAGCTTGATGTGATACTTTATAAAATGTATAGTTCAGTGCTTTGCTTTTCTACATGTTGGTATTTGGGAAATTGGTTTGTGCAGCCAAGCAGTTAATAACAAGGACACCTGCCCCATGGATGCTTTCTGTTGTTTTTTTGTTTTAATGGTATTCATACTAATTTTGATGTTCTCTTGCCATTTACTAGGCATAACTATTCAAAAACTCATTTACTATAATGGTCCCTTTACCTTCCAACATGTCTACAAGATAGATGTGTGGTATCCTGTTCAATGCAGACTGCTTTTTTATGTGTTGAAATCTTAAGATGGGAAGCAAGATTTCTTACACTTTATTTGTACTTAAGAAAACATTTATTCCGTTAAGGATTAGGAAATTCTTTCCTAATTATGGAAAACAACATAAAAATAAAGAAATGTAAGACTGTAATTAACCACACTGGGAGTTTAGCTAATCCAGGAAATCATTAACATTATTTATATAGAGGTAAAAAAGGTAGTACTTCTCGGCTAATTGTATAAATTTCAGAGATTACTTTCTACAGAGTTTGATTCCAATCCTGTTTTTCCTTTCAGAAGTGCCTGGCTTTATGTTTAGGTGCAGAAAGTAGGGCTACCTTTGCAGTCCATACAGAAAAGGATACTGTAATAGTTTTGATTAAAACAGCAGCATTTTCCAGTAGTGCTATTGCAATCACCAGTTGTTCTCTTCTGTTTAAAATTTAAGAGATTTGTGTTGATCTTCTATTAAACAGATTTCTGAAGAGATGCTTTATTGCTAGAGCAGTCTGGCATAGGATAAACAGCCTTGGATAGCATATTACCCATTGAAAATATTATTTTTATATAATATTTTCATTGAAATATGTCTCTAGAACTACATGCTTGGCAGGTAAATCTAGGAATATTGCAATAAAGTTACAAATCCCATTTAAGGAATAGTGTCAATTCTTTTAGCTTAATTCTATTCTGTATATATCTCAGCTGATTTAAAATTTAGTCCTGACCATGACTCCAGCAAAAAATATTAGACAGAATCCCTAAAAATTACCATAAAAGGCATAAATAGAAGGAATTCTCAAGAATGCCAATCCTCTTATGTAGCCACTTTGTAAAAAAAAAAAAAAAAAAAAGACACAGAACCGACAGATTCTTATACACAGAACATTTGCACTTTTTAAAATAAATAAACTCAGTGATGTTTACTTCTCATGTCACATTTAACCATGTCTGCTCTAAATAGCAAGTGGGAATAATAATATTTGCATGAGTACCTGTGAACCATAAAAGCAAATGCCCCAGTATTTCAGGTAACAGATTGTATGGAGCTAGCAGAAGCCGAGGTCCATGATATTGCCAGGGAAAGGGACGAGCAGCAGCAAGGGCATGTCTTGGCAGGCATACATGTACACTCTTGGAAATATTACCAGTACTGGGAATATTGTTGGCAGCTGTCAAAGTGTCCGTACACTTCTTGGTCTGATTTAATTTAGCTATAAATCTGTCAAACACAACTTATTTTAATGGGTTTACCTGGAGTGATATAAAGTTATGTCAGACCAAAGACAGAAAAGGCCCCATGGTTCACGTGAGCGCTGCAGAACAGGTAACTGTGAATGTTACATGACGCCAACCTTAACATAGTAGGTGTCATTTGAGTTAAACAATAATCGCTTGATGAGTTGTTACTTTGCCAGATTTGACTTTAAAGAAGCTATTGATCACCAGCTACTCAGAGTGTTTTCTGCTGTCACTTGGTGAAGTGACTTTGATTGTAGAGTGAGGTGGGCTGCCCAATGACTGTCACATGGGGTCTAAATGTATGCCCCTACCCATGTGTTTAAACTGAATATATTGCCAAAGGCTTTAGACTCAGAAACCACTGCTAAACTTTAGTATTTTTCTTAGAGCTCTGGAAAGCCTATCAACGAACTCTTAACTGCAGGTATAGGATGACACATTGGAGCTTTGGGGGCTGCTCCTATACCTAAATTAAACACCTCTGTGCACTTTAGGCTGCTTTGTCTGATGTGGCATTGGGACTGCACAGGTCCCTGAAATATGACATGCAGGGTGTATTTTTTTCCCCAGATTTCTAGGGTAGAAAGGCTCACTTGACAAGCATTCAGACTTTATGTTCAAAGGAGGTTCTTTGAGTGAGTTCACACAAAGACGGAATGATGATATAGAAATAGAGATTTCAAGCAATCATTTCCATCAGTCTGTTCTGCGTGATGCATCACCAATTATACATGTTTATAATTCATTGTATCCAAAGAAAACTATCTTTGTTCTAATTAGGTGAGCATGGAGAAAATGTGCATTTTAATGATTTCTGGATGATAAAACAAAAAAGCTTAAATAAGAAAATACATTTTAAGTTGCAACTAAACAGCATAGACTCCAGGGAGACCTTATAGCGGCCTTCCCGTACCTGAGGGGGGCCTGCAGGAAGGCTGGGGAGGCACTGTTTACAAGGGCATGTAGGAATAGGACAAGGGGCAATGGTTTTAAACCAGAAACTAGTAGATTTAGATTGGATATTAGGAAGAAGTTCTTTACCATAAGGGTGGTAAAGCACTGGAAGTTTGCCCAGAGAGGTGGTGGAGGCCCCGTCCTTGGAGACATTCAAGATCAGGCTTCATGGGGCTCTGGACAACCTGATCTAGCTAAAGATGTCCCTGCTCACTGCAGGGGGGTTGGACTAAATGACCTTTGGGGGTCCCTTCCAGCCCAATGCATTCTATGGTTCTATGATAGGTAGTATCACTGTTTGTAAAGGACTACATGGGTGTATGAAGAATGGCACACAAGGGAGAGAGGTGCTGCATATATTTTTCTTTCTAACCAGTGAAAAGTGCAGTACTTTGTAGAACCTCATCCCTCTTCTAAAAATTATAGAATCTAAATGCAGAAAGTATGTTTTCTGTGAGACAGTTTAGCTTCATAATGCTTTATGCGAGCATTTTCATGTCAGTGCAGGCCCAGAGGGCACTGTGCTCACTTTTTACTCCCAGAAAATTCTGATTGCCAAATAATTTTATGCAAAGTTAGAGCAACAACCCCATCATCATTTGACTTTTAGCTGCCTTTTCGTGCAGCTATACATAATATTAAAATGTATGTAAGAACTGCAAAATAGTTTGACAAATCTAGGACTTGATCAGTTTTGCATCTTTACAGCACCCAGAAACAAGATAGGTCTTTCATTGCATTTTGCACAAGGGTGTGGAGTTAAACGCTCCTTCTCTGTGCTGTGGTGACTCTTAAGAGTCGAAAGGATAATGCAAGAAAAATTTGGCCTTCTGTCATCCCTGAACCTAGTTCTCGCTCAGTCTTAGCACCATCAGGGTAGGAGGTATGCTTTCCCAGCACGGCCTTGTCACACAGTGCTCCTCCCTTTCTTTGTTCTTTTATTGCCTTTCTCCCTTTGGCTGCATCAGGGTACAAACCGAGTTGTAAACTCTTCAGTGCAGGAAACCTGGTTTTTTTTTGTCCCCACTGAAAAGCCAGCAGCACACAAGTTATTGAACAAGAACAGTAATACAATACACTTACCTACTGCGGTTAATTGTTGTACTTTACTTTATCTGTACTGTGCTTTCCTTGGAGCTGCCAGGGCAGCAGCATTCATTCTGGGTGATTTTTATCAGTGTTACCTGCTGCTGATGCCTGAGGGACGCAGTGACAGATTACTCTCCAGTTGCTAATCATGATCAAAATCTAAATATATAACAAGAATTTACTGAAATTTTCCTCTGCAGAGTCGATTTCAGCTAGGTGCTTTGTAAACTCAGCTGAAATTCATGTGCCCTGGTTTTGGTATCTAAAAGCTGGATGTCTGTCTCTGAACTAAAGACTCTTTTTAAGTGCCTTCCTTAGTCATCATAGAGAAATAGGCACTAGTTGAAGATGATTCATCCCATATTCAGCTGGGCATTGAAGGTAGGTAAGCTAAATCAACTTTTTCTCTATCCTTACTATAAAAGGAGCCCAGCGTAGCTGGCTAGTACTTAGATTTCTCACTCTACATCTAAAATTAGGTAAGATTAATCTCTTCAGAAAAGGCCATCCAGTTATCTGACTAATATTACGCAGATACTCCATTTTAAGCCAAGTAACTTGGGTTGGCCAACGTTATCCTCCAAGAAATGTGCAGGGTAATTCAGAAGTTCAGCCAGTGGAAGATTCCTCAGCTCATTTGGTAGAGTGTCACTGTGGTTGACTGCCTTCTGTGGTAAAGCCAAGAGCCTTATGTCCCGTTTTGATTTGCCTGACTTCAGCTTTCAACAATTGTTTTTCGGTTTGGTTTAGGTGTTTGACGTTTTGTCTTTTATAGAGGGGTAATACACTAAAACAAAGTGCTTTAGACTACCAGAAATTTTCTTTATGTGAAGTCTCTTGAAAAATCACTCTTTAAATCATGTCTTGATTTCCTGTCTGACAAACTAAACATGTCAAATCTTTCAAATTCTGACAGTGAGGCACTTTCTCGAATATTCTTCCTGATTCTCTTCTGTTCCATTCTTAAAGCTTTGGCTAAGAGAGGCAAAGAAACTATTTCAGTATCTCCTCCCACATGACTGCATACACCATTGACCATATTTCTCACTCCCATTTGCAGCTCACCTGGTCACAGCTCTGAAGTCTTTGACTTTACATGTTCATTTCAGCTGATCAGGAACTGGCTAGTGACATGCAATGGGATTACTGCTGGCATGTTTTTTGCCATATAAACTAGTACCTTTTAAATATATGTTGGCCGTGGTGTCTGGGTCAGGTGCATTAGTGTGCTTTGCAAAATAACCTTAGGAGTATGGAAAGCACCCTTTTAGCCGTTGAAAGCACTGCTGGCTTTCATGAAATTTTAAGAATTTGACATGTGTTTAACTAAGTATTCTGTGCTGGACTGTGCAGGAGCCCAACTGATTGTGCCCGAATGGCCTGGTGATGGGTGCTGCAGGTAGCCAGCACACATTGGAACTGCGCTATAGCAGCAATAACTAATTGGTGGCAAAAAGCATTATGGAAAACCTTCTACAGTCAAGTTGGAGGCAGCCTGCCCCACTCTGTAGCGTGTATTTCATGTCCTGATGCATCCCAAACCCGCTTCCCTCTGCCTTTAACACGATGAAGGGGAAAGCCACAGGCATTGATGCTCAGCAAATCAGAGAGCCTGCCTGAGACGGCTTTATGAAATAAGGTATTGCCAGGTGCATGTCTCACACTCCATGCGTAAGGACTAAAATGAGTCATCTACGTTATTTGTCTCCTGGTTGTTGTGAGTTCTAAAAAACATCTGTTGACTGTGAGTTTGTCCATTTCAGCGAAGTGAAATTCACTTTATACAGAATTTGTTCAGACTTTTCTAATGAAAAAACAGGCATTAAATATGTCTGATAAAAAGGAAGAATCAGCAATTAACCTGCAGAGAAAGCTGCTATGTATGTAACGGTTATTGTCTGAGCAATTGATACAGGAAATACTT